CTTCCCTTTTCTGACATAAATAAACAAAAAATGTAAGTTAGGTGTTTTCTGTCGCTGTGATGTCATGATGTGAGTGAGTGTGAATGTCCAGCATGTCCTCCTTAGAGAAGTAAAGGGATGTTAGGGCTTTAAACGATCCCAGACGACGAATAAGGGTATTATCAAGCGAAATGATCGCTCATTTTCAAAAAATAAAAATAACAAAGTTTAAGTTTTATAAGCTCAAATGGTCGCCTTGCTCTGTTCTGTGATGCGCATTCGTGACTCTCCTGTTCGAACTCGTTTATCAAAATGAACGAATCTTTTTTCGTGTCATTTGGTTCATTCAATGAACGAAATGAACGAATTGGCTCGTAAAAAATGTACTTCGAGTTTGAACAGGAGAGTCACGAACGCGCATCGCAGAACAGAGTGATATCGTTAATGAGCGATTGTTTCACTTGATAAGACCCTTATTCATCGTCTGGAATCGTTTAAAGCCCTTTGAACAGTTTGCAGTTTGGACTGAAACTGTCTTTTGGATTAGCCGTTTGGTTAACGTTACCAGTAAAATCCATTATATGGAGAAAAATCCTGGAATGTTTTCATCAAAAACTTTTAATTTCTTTTCAACTGAAGAAAGAACGACATGGACATCTTGTATGACATGGGGGTGAGTAAATTATCAGCAAAAGTTTTTTTTTTAAAGTGAACTACTCCTTTAATGCCACAAAACACGGGTGTGATCCTTTTAAATAAGGGCGTGTTTGTTTTGGTGATTTCAAATGTATTACCAGAAATATCTTACTGCACCTTTAAGGATTAAAGGCACATGTTTTTTTTTGTTTTTTTTATGTATTATAAGTAAAGAAAAAAAGAATTGTCTATTTTGATTTCATGGTGACTTTAATGCTACAGCGACACCATACAATGACAAAAGCAATTTTTTAAATGTGGGTCACAAGGAGGAACTAAAGGGTTCGTGCAAGTATAAGAATTGTGGTGCATAAGTTGCCAAAAAAAGATCAAGTTTGTTGGTGGGCATAACTTGTATTGACATACTGACATGAAGCACCAGAAGAAGTGTTTCCTGGCACTCCTAGCTCGGCACATACACACATATCCTGTATACGAAGATTCGAAATCATATCAAGTTTGTCCATTAGCGTTTATTTATTTCATTTTTACTGTTCAGTTTTGTGATTTATTACTGTAATGGGTTTTATTTCTGTATGTATCTTCTTTGTGTATTTTGGATTTTATTTGTATTATTAGTGTAAATCTTTTTCTTTCATCTCCCTAATGTTGATTGTTACTCTGTTATAATGTACATTGAATGAAAATTAAACATTGCGATCTGTAGTGGGTTTTACAGGCCAGACAGCAACATAGTGTCGGCCTGGATCCGGCACATCCGCATGTGAGCCGGATCTGGGCTGATATTATGTTGCTGTCTGGGAAGTGTCTCTTAAGAGTCAATTCTTTTAAAGAATCTTTTAAAAGATTCACAAACTCAGGAGTATACGTCTAAAGTTTGTTTTTTCCCCCGCTTTTGTTGTATATCGTTTCAATAGGTCACTTTTAAAAATATGCTAGAGTGTACCTCTTTTCACAAGGGTTTATAGTCTATACTGCAGATGTAAGGATAGTATGGAAATAAACCCCTTAGCCATTGATCATCAGAGCCTGCTAAACAGGGTTTCCTTTAGAAGTGGTGTAAAATATCACATGAACGCAGAGCGTGACATCACTCCGTGTGACCTGAAGCAATAACTTACATGAGTCAACGTCCTTTATGAAGCGCTCAGTGTCATAGACATACACAGGTTGAGTAATAACATAATTAACTTACTTTGCTGTTGTAGAAACAGTCATTGTGAGTCATACAAATTCTTTTGAACTAAATGTTACTGGTAACAATGTGATAAGGAATCTGTGTCAACTCAGCAAGCATAACAACACCCTGACAACAGCCCACAAAATAACCTACTGTAGCATTGCAACATTTTCTTCAGATCATCCTGAATGCATTATATGCACCCAAACATTATATTTATGTTTCACGTGTTCATAAGAAATTATGATCTAAGTTGCGCAATAATTCTCTCTCTGATGCCTGCTAATTTCTCCTTTGTAGGCTACATGCAGTTATATTGTCATCATCGTACAAAAATCTAAACCAGACATGCCGTTCAGGAGCAGGAGCTCTTTGCATCTGCTATCCATCAAGATGGAATGAGCGACCCGGGCTTTGATCCTTCATCCAGGCGCGTGTGGAGGGGTGTACGGGTTAACTGTAATTCATAAAAAACCTGCCTATATACGCAACACACATGTGGTCATCATAGGACACTGTCAGCAAGTGGGAGCAATTGAGAAATATTTAAGTCATTGACACGGCGTTGTTATTCATCAGCATACCAAGCAGAAAGCTTGTTTTTTGTTGTTACTCAGAAGTGGCATTAATGTAAGAACTTTAGAAGCACATTTTTGGACACGCCTGTCGTGCAACTAACAAATTAAAAGCAGAGTACAAGAACTGGAATGTTCTAAATAGATGTTTAATTAATGAATCTGATGTAGTTTTGGGGGAAAAATATAGCCTTGATATCTGGTTTATGAGTTTGTTTATTGTGTGGAAAAGTTCTTTAGACAATTGAGAACATTTTAAAAAATACACCACTGTACGGCTGTTTCTTTCTTTCTTTCTTTTTTCTTCAACATTCTCTTTATTGCTTTTTGAGGAGAGAGACAGAACTGAATTCAAAGCGCATGTATACAACATAGCAAAAACGTCTTTACCTTAAAGCATTAGTTCACTTTTTAAAAGAAATTGCTGATAATTTTCTCACCCCCATGTCATCAGAGATGTCCATGTCTTTCTTTCTTCGGTCGAAAAGAAATTAAGGCTTTTGATGAAAACATTCCAGGATTTTCTCCATATAATGGACTTCAATGGGGTCCAAACGGTTCATGGTCTATTTCAGTGAGGGCTAATTACAATACTTTACAAACGTGTGAAGGTAACACATTCAGCAGGAGTGTGTAAAAGACTGACCAGCCGTCAAAGTATACGTGGAGGAGTGCGAATCGGAAGGGTTGGCCAAAAGTACACAAGTGGATCAAGGGATCAAGAAGAAACTATTTCAGCCTTCACTTATCCAGAGAAAGTGACATTCACTCCAATAAGAAAACAGTCATGATTTGTCCTTGGAAAAATAGACTTTTATGTAATAAACTTTCTTCCAATGGGCCAAAATTAAATTCAAGTCACCATGAAATCAAAATGGATGATTCTAGTTTTCTATGGAATATTGCAGAGAATAAATGTTAAAATGAAGTGTTATTTTATGTTGTTTTGAGAAAATGAGAAAAGGGGAACACTTGATAGTGTGTAATTGTGTTTAATGTTCAATTACATTGGAATTATCAGAACCATTTAAATTACCATTGTGGAGAGTGGAGCATTTCGATTGGCTGTCGACTGATTTATTCATTTCAACGGCTTGGTTGAATAAGCAAATCTTAGGATTTAAGATGCTAATATGTGCTAGTTAATAGCTAGCTATAATCACATCAATAATGTTTCTCTAAAATAAATGAAATATTAATGAATATACAAAATACCTGAATCATGTCAGGAAGCCTTTAAAAATCACTTTGAGACTACTTTAATAAGGTAGCTTAAAATGACTTAATTCCATGATATTGAAGTTACATGAACAAATTATGTTTGTTTAACGTAACCCGGTTATGTGGAACCTGTTGACGAAAAACTTTTAATTAAAGCCAACATATTTTTTGGAGTGCAAGAAACAAAAGTAAGTCTTAGAAGTTTGCAAAGGACATGAGTTGAGATTGAGTAAATGATACCAGAATTTTCCTTTTTGGGTGAACAAATCCTTTAAGCAGAAAAATAATTATCGAACTTAAACAGAATCTGAGTGCTGCTCGGGAGGCATGTATAAGAAAAGCAAACTCCTAGCAAATGGCCCATTCATGTGGACTGAGCTGTTAGAACAGCATGATGTCTGTGAGGGAATTGATGGCATTTAACACGCTCATGGTTTACAGCAGAGAAAGTCAACAGTTTATATTCTCAGGCCTAGATTACATAGTTATCACATTTGTTCGTTAAAAAATGCATCCAGCGTGCCTAAAAGAATATAAAAAAATTAAACGACAGAAGGTTAAAGATAACTGCAAATTGTGTGTAAACGTAAATTAAAGTATTAGTTTTCCCCTCAAACAATTAAATTCAAAGGGGTCTAAAGTTGTTTGGACTACAATGTTCTTCAAAATATCTTATTTTGTGTTCTGCAAGAAAAAGAAAGTCAGACAACTTTAAAGTGACGGAGTAGATTTTAAATTTTTAGGTGAACTGTCCCTTTTATGATTCACTTCATTCACTGTAAAAAGTCGAATTTAAGTTGAAATAACATCCAAGTTGATTGTACTTAAAAATTTAAGACAGCATTTTTTGTGGAGGTTGTTTTAAATCAGAGCATGGAAACACATTTATTTGATTACTGATATGCAGGTTCTTTTATAGGGAGTGACACTTAAAAAAATAAAAGTATAAATCATATGTTATAATTAATTTATCAAATACATTATTATAATTGCTGTTTTTATTATTATTTTCGTAGTGCAGAAAACTAGATAAGGTTAAAATGAAAGACTGCTCAAAATTTAGTGTAGGCTATCACTTTAAATAATGTCTAACTTTCAGTCTTTGTTTACATAATTGAAGGTGCCGCCTCAGACCGCCGTTGTGTTGGATTGTGCCGTTTGAGGGGGCGCGTTTTTTTAGATTAAAAGGTGAAATATCTCAGGATCAAACTTTACAGTACAGTTTATGTAAACGGAACACAGGCCTCAAAAGTATCTAAGCATACACTGATCGACGATGACTCAGTTAGAATATTCACGTTAATCGTTGGAAAGTTTCTTCCCGCTCTCCCCCGCGTAAAGTCGTTATAAGTGAATGGTACGGTCCACCCCCTACGAGTACTGTTTTTCTTTCAGCGGATGGAAGCATTAAGTTATTCGCTGTTCTCATGATGAAATGTCTCCGAGACGCAAGGCTTTAATTTTAAAATTTCTGTCGGATGTACGATTTCATTGATTATTTTTTCTCGGAAAAGTACAACGCAAGATTGGGAGCAGGTAAATGGGTAATATGGCAGTTAGGAGCGTCCTTTGAAGTCTTTTCCCGTTTCGTCGCTGGATTGATCGTGTCATTTAGTGAGGGGCGCTGTGTTGTTTGAAAAGCCTCATGTTTTCAACGGGTCAAGAGGAGCACTGTGCGCCCACCAAAGAGCCAGTGAAGTACGGCGAACTGGTGGTTTTGGGGTGAGTCCATACGCGCATTTTTTCCCCTTACAATGTGTTCAATATTCACGAGTTCACCCGACTTTAGCTGTATTATTTGCTGTTTCCAAGTTACATACTTTCACTTGCCGTATATACTCTCAACAGGGCTCTTCAGAAACTCTTTTGAGCCGCTATTTAGTGGATAACTGCTTTTTAGAGAGTACGGAAATAGTTTGTTTACACACTTGATATTGGTGTGCAGTGCGCGAGACCTCCCAGCTCTTAAAATTCACGCGCTCACGTTACTGCACAAATGAAACACGTGCGGTCTAGCGAGCGCTGTCTGTAAGCTCACGGGAGCCAGATAAATAAACACATTTAGGCTATTATTATTATTTTTTATACACTAAAGCCGCCATCTAAAGTGATACTGTCGATGATCTAGAAATTCAATTATTGACTGCTGCGCATTTTACTCCATCGTGGATGGTTTGGCTGGGAGTTGGTTTCCCAGCCACTTTGTAGCCCCAGTGTTCGGATCTTGATGGGACTTTCTCATGGTGCTCGTTCATCATCTGTACGGGAAGTCATAACAAGATGAAGGGCGGTGGAGGAATTCGGAAGCAGCCCACTAAAGTTATTGGTCCCCCCTCCTTGTCTGTGACTGAGCAAAGAGCCTGTCTCTGTTTTACAATACTCCCTCCTAGCTCTGCTGGGTTGTAAATCACAAATGCTCAGTGATCTTCTAGACTAGAGCTTCAAACCATTCCTGGAGCACTGCATATGATGGATGTCTGCATCATTTGTTCATTAGAAGATGCTCTGTGTGATGATCTGGATGCGTCACATGATAAAAGATATTCAAGGCAGGTGGACTATAACAGATTTTGTGGGTAGTGTAACTGAAAAGGGATTTTAAACCAATACCTAAAGCTTACTGTATCGTTTAATATGCAAATTTCTAAGGCCTCTAAATTAAAAACACAATCTCAACTTTGCTGAAAAACCTGTTGTACACATTGGTTGATGCTTTATACTTTTTGGGAAGTAAAACATCTTTTAGTATTATTTTATGGTCGTGTTATTTTAGGTTGTGGTTCACCTTTGCTTTTGCTTTGAAATCTTTAGGTTTTTTAGAAACTAAATGCACGAATAACTTTATTTTGTTAGCAATATTTCAAGATGTGAACACATACTGGACTGAAGCGACTTAGATTTACTTGATACTGCACTTTTTTGTGGAATTTAAAAAAAATTGGTTATTAAATGACATGAAATTTGTGTACATCTCTCAATCATTTGCCCCTTATAATAAAAACAAGCAGAGTTTTGATCTTAAAACTAAGCATTTATATTAATATTTCTCAATCTTGCGTCCCTGTTTTCTTGAACTACGTCTTGAACGCAAGTACAGAGGACGCATGAAAGCACCTGGATGTGTTCTTGATATCGGGAATGCATCGAATGAAGACTTGAGAGAATCAAACCGTTAGAAATCCCAGAAGCCTCTGCGGTTGGAGGCCTGTGATTACTTAAAGGGTTCGTTCACCCCAAAATAAAATTGTCATCAATTACTCACCCTCATGTCATTCCTTTCCCATAAGATTTTCTTTCATCTTTCATCAAATGAAGATCTTTTGATGAAATCTGAGAGCTTTCTGTTCCTCCATTGACCGCAACACAACTAACGCTTCAAAAAGTTAATCAAGAGAATAGATCGTTAAACTAATACAGCGGCTTAGTCCAAAATCTTCTAGAGACACGGTCATTTTTATATGATGAATGAACCGCTTGAATTTAGGCTTTTATTCACATAAACATTCATCAACTCGTACATCAGTTGTGGTGAACAGAAGTTCAAGCATGTTCACTTGAAGTGTGAGAACCAGTGATGTCCTTGTTACGCAGTTCGGTTGAGATTCTGTTTATGTCCGCCGATAAGCGTTTATGTGAATTAAAGCCTAAATTAAATATTTCCCTGTCTATGGAGGGACCAAAATCAGTTTTCATTTTTCAGTTTTTTGGGTGAACTATATCTTAAAGAGATTGCCGATGCAAGCTATGCGTGATGGCTCGTGAAAATAAACATTTGTCTGTTTTGCTTTTAATGAAGTGACCTAAAGAAAGCCTGCAGTATTTTTATAGGTATATTAAAAAGAATCTTAACTTGACAAAACCATAGGTAACATTAAACATAATGATTTTTACAACTACAAACGGAAAAATTATATAAAACAGAATAAAAAAAAATAATGGCTTTAATAATGTGAAAGAAATGTTTCAATAGGTTAACATTTGTGACGTTATTGTGCATACCTATAATATGCTGGTCATATCAACTCTCACCAAGATGCGTCCTTCAGAGTTCATTCTTTCAAGATAACCTGGCAAGTTTTCCACAAGAACGCAAGTCCGTTCTTGGAATTAAGAAACGGCCATAAAGGGACAACTGAACTGATATTTAGACCGTTGGCATTTTATGCAAGTAGTCTGCTATACTGTTATATTGATCTCCTTGGTTTAACTTTACATTATAAGTTATCAGAATTTCATCTTACATTTTGGCCATGCAAACATCAGCAACTACTCAAATTGCACATTTTTACTCCGTTTGGGCCTCAAATTAGGTGACCCCCCCCCCCCCCCCTTCATAGTCTCACTTTATTATTCTATATGAGCCCTAAAAGCCTGATGTATCAAATGATATTCAACAAAAACAATTTATTTTAGAGGTTTAAACATTTTCTCTGAAGGTTCAATATACTGATCCATTAAAGCACATTGTTTTTGGATTAGAGCAATAAGACTTTATACACCTAATAGTGGTTTTTGATTTGAGTAAATTAAGAAGGCCTGTGGTTATTAATCTTACTTGAAGTGAGTTTCATGTTTTGTTTTCTATCATGGTTTCACATCCTAATGGTTGTCGGAGTCTTTATGCAACTTGCGTTTTTAAAAAAACGCACAGCAGCTTTAAAATTCACATTATGCAACTTTTGTAGAACAAAATAAAAAGGGTCTTTTCAAGCATTACATTTAATGAGAGAGCCTAATTCTCAGTGTGCTACTACAGTTTTTATTTCTCTTTCATGCAGAATATAATTTCCTAGTTAAATATAACCCTGACATGACTGCTTTTATCATGAGAATAATATGCCCTTCAAGTGGAGTTGGAAATATCATAATTGCGACTAGTTCTGAGTATGTGAATGACCAGGTGAATAAACTCTGAATTCTTCATGATATTATTTTCATGTTTCCAACATTAGAAGAGGCATGTTGATTATAATATAATATAATTTATCAGTAATCTATAGGCTATATAGAGATCAATGAGTGGATAGCAAGTCTGTAGTGAATACAAATTTTTTGACTTTCACAGTTTGCTTTTTAACTTTTACTTTTTAAATCATTTGACATTAGGATATAAATGAATAATTTTCTTAATTAAATCAGATGATGTTTTTGTTCAATTATTATATAATTATTATTTTTTCCTTAATGCTGCTTCCTTTTTATGTTTCCAACTTGAATGGATGACATATCGTCGTGATAACAAATGCCCAACTCAAGGCAGCATGATTTCAGTATCTTATAAAAGATAACACATCTTATGACTTAAATCGCATGTAACTGTAAATGTTAATCCGTATAATTTTGTGGTTGAGTGGTTTTTGTATTTTATATGTAAAGTGAACAATCTTACACAAGAGCACAAAATGAAACCAATGTTATGGTGAAACATTTTCTGTTCTTGGAGTGTTTGTTTGATTCATAGGATTTGAAACCACCTGTGAATGAACCAAACAGACCTATTGTAGCATATATTCCTTAAAAAAGACATCAACCTACCACCTTTCTGCTGGCCTGATTCATTGGGCTTGGCTGGCATTGGCTGCTGGCACACACAGAGCAGAGGCTGAAAGAGGGTATTATTGATCGGGGCAAAGGCAGATCTGAGCCTCCAGTCCTCCCCTCTCTGTTCATTGTTCTCATTAGACTGACTGAGCTGTTTGAGAAGGCGAAAATGCACCTTTTGTAATGTTGTCTTTCCTCTGTGACTGATAGCTGTGAGGAGATAGATCTCGCTGACTCTAAAATTTCTGCCAACTCACAGAGAGAGCATTACAATCACTATCATTCAAACTCTGACATCTGAAAGGAAGACATGATCAACCTAATGATCTCGGATGTACTGTAAAGGTCTCCCTGATTAATGCAATTAAAAGGAATTTAATTTAACATGTTGATAACAAATGATACACTTGGTGTGTAAAGATTTGTTTTATGCGGTTGCTTGTCTAACAGCACAGTATCATTTTCAAAACTTTAAGGCTACGTCCACATTAATCCGGATACATTTGAAAACGGGGTTTCCGTTTAAAAACGCCCTCCGTCCACACTAGCGTTTTCAGGCGTTTTCCTACGTTTCAGTGTGGATGAGAAACTTCGAAATTCACTTTACTGCGCATGCGTGAAACTTCACAAAAGCTCACTGAGATGATACAGATGGGAAAATAAATAATAAAATTATCACACAACAGGATAATTTTATTTAACAAAACATCTCACCATCACTGAAAATATCTCACCATCACTGAATGCGTCCAGGTCGCATTCAGTCACCATGTGTTTGGTGCCGCAGGACAGCAAATGTAAGTATCTGTCATCTTTGCAGTACTGTGCTATGAAGAATAGCACATAGAAAGTAACATATTTTAGCAATAGTGTAAAAATGAATAACATAACAGGCACAATACCGATAAACATGAATATCTATTGGTACTACATGGATCACATGACTAAACTTACGTCATCGTTTTGAAATAACTCCGGTTTCACTGTCCACACTACAACGCGAAAACGGCGTTTTCAAATTTATCCACTTTGGAGAGCGTTTTCCAAACGATACGTTTTTGTTGACTTAAAAAGGTGTCTCAGTGTGGACGGAAGGCCAAAACGGAGAGAAAAATATACGTTTTCAAATGAAAACGTATTAGTGTGGACATGGCCTAAGTTTTCACGCTCCCAAAACACTGTGTAAAAAACGGTGTCATAATGGTTCACGATATTTCGGCCACCGATATAATATCGGCCGATATGGTCCATTTGCTGAAGGTGGCAAAAAAACTCAGTTTAACTCTGCCTTTGGTGAGGGAGCAACGATGTCATCTGTCTGGTCGTTGACATGAAGAGTGTCTGAAGAGGATCCTTCCTCGCTATGTGTTTTCTATACAGGGATATCGACATCGGTAAATATCGGTATCGGCCATAAAACAGCAGTATTAATATCGGTTTTCAGTATTGGCCACAATTTTCATGTCAGTGCATCACTGCAGTATCATGGTAAGGGCCGTTCACAAAAAACAGGTTTTTCCATTCACCGCGCTGCTTTTTCTTTGTAAACTTGCGCTTAGATAAACATGTTTGAGAGTCTTGCACATTACAAGCGTTTTGAAAATGTGGGGCTTAAGTTAGTTTAACTTTATAAAGAAAATGCATCTCAATACTTGGCTTTTTTTTCCCTTTTCAACTGCTCGTGTTCTGAGTGAATGGCTCCTAACACCGTCAACACTGAAAGCAAATTATTTAATTAATTTCTTTCATTCCACTGCGGCTGCTAAGTAAGTAAGACAGCGCAAAAATGACCAAAGTGCTGTACAATGAATAATTAAAAAGACAAAATAAAAGAAAATAAAAACACATGGAATTAATAGTCATAAAACATGAATAAAAAGAAAACCTTCAATATCAGGGCACACAACACAGAAATACAAAGAACAAACAGGAGTGCCAGGTTCGGGAACAAGGAAGGCCATGGAATAAAAATGAGCTTGAAATACAGCAATGGAGGGGGCGGAGCTAATATAGAATAGAATAGAAGGACGAGTTTGATCATTGCGCTTAAGTTTCTTCATCTTTTGCAGTGTCTCGTGCGTAACACTCAATTCTAAAATCCGCCGCTCAAGTTAAAAGAAGTTCAACTTTAAATTGTTTTTGCAACAACCAAGCCTTTTTGTGTAAAGAATTCCCCCCTTATTTTCCCACACCTGACCTGTTATTGGGTTATCATCCATTTCAGATAAACGCATCCTTAAATGGACATCAAACTGTGATGGGCCACTTTTCATTCTGCTAGACATCATGCTGTCTCCATCTGAAAGCTGAAGTAGCTGCTTTGCATTTGTGTATAATGGCACCTTCTAAGGGTACTGGTTACAGACTGACTCCCAAGGCACCATCATGTCTAATGATCTAGAACAAATTCAAATGAGCTTTAGTCACAAGCAAGTATTTAATGGCTATTTCTTGCTAAAAATGAAGTCATACTTTGACTAGTTTTAACTGAGATGCCATTTTCCCACGAACTGCTCACACATAATCTTGGAGAGAAGAATGCGTCTTTGAAATCTGGCCAGATAAAGACATCTCAGTAGACAGGATGTTACATATTTATTGGATTCAGACATGCCTTGATACTTTCTCAAATTGTGTAACATGTCTAGTGATAAGCATCAACAGTACAGGATGTTGAGGCCTCTTGTAAGTGCGTGCTGACATCATGCACACTGACTGTAGACAGATCGTAGATTAGCATTTTACTCTGAATCCTTGTTCTCATAAATGCTGTATGAAAAGGTCCAGGAAAATCTTATGGAGCAGAACAAAAACCTGAGTGAATGACATTAGGAGCTGGACTCTATGGGAAGAAGTCTTTGTATTGACAGCTTTTAGTCTATGGTGTTCACACATTTCTCCTCTCTATGAATACGTGACAATTACATGTTAAGAGTTTGCAAGTAACTTCATGAGAACTACACATGCTGTTAGACCAGAACATTTAAATAATTTAAATTAATAATAATCGATTAAATTCAAGGGCTCTATTTGACTACAACTTAAATAGTGGTTCAATTTAAAGCTGATGTAACGAAATGGCATAACATCACTATGAAATGGCAGCTCTATGAATGGTGTGTAATGCCTTTTCTCTCCAAATGAAGTCCTGTTTTGCTCATTAATTTAATACAGCACAAGTTGTTTCTACTGGCAGCATAGCGTTCATGCATCTCAGACCTCATTTAATCTTAGTCTAGAAAAGAGTGAAAGAACTGTTTTATTTGCATTCACATTGTACATGGACCATGCATGCAGTATTCCTGTTTTCTTTATTTATTAATTTTTTGTTGGAGAATTGAAGGAAGACATTTGAGCTTCTAACTTTCTCGTTTTAACTGTGGTGAAATGCTGCACTCTTCTAATTTTTATGAAGTGGTGTCATTTTATTAGATTTGTATAATACCTTGTCCTTGTGGGTAAAAACATTTAAAATTTTGCTATTTTGAAGACACAATGCTCGTTTTAAGCGAGCCGTGCCTCTTTGAACACCACCAGAGATGGAGTTTGGGTGGGCGAACCTCTGAGGTTGCAGGAATCACTGTATCACGAGCTCCTCGTGAGCTGAGTATGTGTAGCGTCATCACTCTTAAAAGCACATGATGTATACTGTCTAATATGCATTCATTTAATTGCGGTTGGATCATCGTTCAGGGATATGCAGCGCGTTTTGAATGACTGGCATTCCAGTTCATATGTAATCTGTGTGGTTTTCCGGATTCTGTAGAGCCGTGAAGCACCATTTTCATGATCTGGAAAATGATATTCTGTGTTTGACTCCTTAAAGTGGTATTTTTCTAGTTCCTCATATGGCGTTATCTAATTTTTTTTTTCTTTCCTTAAACAGGTACAATGGTACACTTCCCAATGGAGACAGAGGGCGAAGGAAAAGCCGGTTTGCCCTTTACAAGAGAGCCAAAGCTAACGGTGTCAAACCCAGCACTGTACACATCCTTAACACACCACAAGCCAGCAAGGTAATCGCATATCAGCCTTAACTTGTGAAACCTTGTCATCTGTGAGGGTTTTTTTTTCTTTCTTTGCGTAGTAAAATAAAACCTGTAGCTGTACTGCCTTTTTTTGCCAAATAATTTTGCCAGAGAAATACCATAACCAAGTTTAGTGTGTTGCTCTTCCCTCATATTTAATCATTTAAAAAAATATATATATACATTTATTTTCCTCCTATTTTTGATGGTTTATGTGAACTTGTAGGATCATTAAAAACAAATAACCCCTCCGGACATCACTTTTGGCTACTGGTTTCATACAGACATCACATCTGGTTTAAGAAATGCTTTTTTGTGGGGCATTAAATAATGGCGCAAATACCAGTAAATTGACTAGCGCAAACCTTAGTAAATCACCTTGCATGATTATTTTAAATACTTTCCTTGCTTAAATTTGGTCTGAAAGGCAAACTCCTACAAATGCATATGCAATATGGCCAGCTGAAAAATTCACCCTTTCCACGTCTTTTCAGCGCCAATTTTTCACTGCGTGTCTCTAGTAAATCCTTACAGTAATTCTTTAATGCCAAAAGAGGGTTTTGCGCTGGTGCAAGCTGTTAGTAAATCTGGCCCTTAGAATTGACACACTTAAGACTCAAATTTTATTCAGAGCGGCTGGATATGTATATGGACCCAGAAATGGATTCTTACTTGAATGAGCCCGAGATCATTGTGGGGATGGAGAACATCTGGATGCCTGAGTATTGGGGTCCTACCTTCACTCTCCATCCCGATTACCAGCGAACAAAAAGTACTTTTAATACCTGAACTTTATTGAGCTTCTAGAAAGGAAAACACTGAAACTTTTCTCACAATGCATATTCTATGCAATGAAGCCTGTGATTGTCTGTCTTTTGTATTTCCCTTCAACCATGAAACCAAATGCAATTTGATATGTTTTTTTTAGTGTGTATTTGGCACATAAAAGTGCCATTGTGCATATCCATTCTGAAGTGTTTAGATTCACCGAAGATTGAGATTTGATGCAACCCCCTCCTATAGTATACTATTATAAATAATCTGACATTAATGGCACAACCAAATGCTTTGCCCTTTTGAAGGTGTTGCCTTTCAGTTTATATTTTACAGCAAGGGTGTGTCAACTCATTTTAGATTGTGGGCCATGGAGAAAGGTTAGCTTTGGGGCTGATTTGTGTTTGTTAAACCATGCTGTACCCATGCAAGCGCATGACCAACACTTGATTTTGGATTTGACAAGCTCCAGAAGAGCGTCTTTATGAGATAGCAATACATGGAATTTGAAATGAGTTCTTTCACAAGACTTTCCAACTCCACATAGCAGAGATAAGTTGTAGAGTATGTTGGATTATTGCCCAGTTGTGAAGCTGTGCAATGCAGTGTTTAGTTAAGAAGGATTGTGACTTTTAGTTTCTCCAACATATTTAACCCCACCTTTAAATGGTTGCTACTGGGACATTCTTCAGAGATTTACAGGGAACATTTACTAAACATGGGTGGGGTTGAGTTGTTCACTGTCATTCAGAGCAGCCACTACCAATAAACAAATCTTGGAGCTGATACTTGGCCATCTCCAGATGTTATCGTGAAATGCATGGAGCTAGATCAGAGTAATGCTGGGCGGGAAACCGGTTCATACTGAATTTTCGTTATTATATTATTTTTAATATACCGCCATACCGATGCGTTTAATTACTCAATGTTTCAGACGGACCCTTTACAATATTGCACTAAGCAGCGAGGTGAGGGTAAACAGCAGTGCTCTGGTGTTACGTTACAGGCAAGATGGATGCTGCAGAACTAGTAAAACATGACATGTTTTTTTTTTTTTTTTGCTGTAATGTTGCTCTTGAAAACATGAAAAATGTCTGCAAAGCACAAAGTCTGTCATTTCTATACTTCTAATATTCATTATATTTGTAAGCACTGTTTCTGAACTCCCTGAAATGCCTCGATTCTAGTCTTGAGTTTTCTTCTGGGAATGTATAAGTCACAATATTACTCAGGTTAAATAATCCAGCCCAAAATATAGTTTATATTGTATATGGTATTTATTGAGATGCATGTGTTGAAACTCGTGGTTATGGTAAGAGGCGTGACATTTCTTAACTCACTCGAAGTGGTTGACCTATCACACTCTGAAGTCCGAACGAAGTCTTTCGCATTTAAAGCAGGTGATTCTGTTGTCACTGGTGATTGTCGTTTGAACCTTTCTGGATCCGCCATCTAATTGATGTTTAATTACATCAAGTGCTGTGAGAAAAGGCTACAAATCTCCACCTCCAAAGCCAAGACTGTGTACAGATGTGACATAATGACGCAAACTCATGCTTGAATCTCCCGCGGAAATACACCAGTACCACTGAATTTAAAAACATTACTACCAGTTTTTGAATCGAGCTAAGACAAGCAGATAGTTTTGAACACTGGCTGGTTATGTATTTTCTCAAATATGTATTTTGGATCATTTTTAACCCCAAAAAATAACAGACTGCAGCTTTAAACATGAAAAACCATGTCACTGTCTCAATTCATCAGAAGTACAACTTAATTTTCTACTATACAGTAGCTCTCCATCTGTCCTCGACAGTCTGTACCGGAAAAGATGTCCACATGAAAATTTTCCAAATGTTGCATTGTAGAGCCATGTTTAGATACAGATACTGATAGCTTTATTAATCCCCAAAGGGCAATTCAGTTTCTACAGTACACCGTCTATACATACAACCATTCACACAGACACAAAGACATAGCATGTAGTGTAAAACCAGGGTAAACATGATAGTGACCAAGTACAGTATAAAAAAAGGAAAAGTTCAAAATCCATAGCTCCTAAAGTGCATAGTGCCAAAAAACAAAACAAAACAAAAACATTATTCATAATGATCTTCCATAACGGTTGGTCTTTGCAGGGGGCTGCAAGTATCGCCGACCTGATGGCATAAGAACAAATTCATCCCCCAGAATATGATGTTGATTTACAAGGCTTTTAGTTACTTTTAAATGGTCTTTTTGCTGTAATTTAAAAAAAGAACAAGAAGAATGTGATATATTTGTGATGTTTGTTTTACACATAGACCCAGGCTCCGTAATTAAAGTCCCATGAACACAAGGAATGTTTTCTTCTCGCCATGAAACTCGCTGGCATGCTGTAGTTTTGGGGATGTTTTGTTGCTGTTGGCCGCTTATTATCCGTCCGCGGTGCCTCGTCAGAGCTGAAAATATCCCAGCGCACAGTCATCTGTGAATCACGCTGTTCTTTGGGGTCACAGCGCTCTGAGGTGGAAGGCCTTCCATGCCTTCAGGCATCGGTCTGAAAGGGTTAACTAAAAAAACGGCCAGTTCTCCAGCAGTGACACAAGTGCAGCTGCATCATTGTAATGTTAAAGTTGAACAAAGAACAGGCTCTGTGATTACTCAGTGCACCAGCGAACTCCTTTCAGATAATGGGTCACAAAATGTCACTAAACTATTCCAGGAACAATATGTGATTGTTCACGGATGTCTTGGAGGTTTGTTTCAGAGGTTAGAGTTGTTGCCACTTGCATTGTGGGCTGTCCAGTGCTGATGGAGGGTACAGTCGAAGTGGATCCTCTTTTCTTGAGGTTGGTGGCCACAGCATCTCATCTCATGTGTTTACAACAAGCCTCGCGAGGCCCAAGCTGCTCTGGCGTCTCACAGATGGAGCTGCTTCAAATCCCTGTTGCCCAACGGGTGCGGCTCCACTCGCTCTATTGTTTGGGGTGTTTTTGTAGCTTTTGTGGCCCACTGTAAAACAGCAGTGGGGGATGGATAGCTGGATGGACCCCCTGTTGTGACCTGGCAGTGAGCATGGAGAGCTGCCTAATGTTTCACCCTCAAGCCTCTTTGTTCCACTTTACTATGGGCACAAATGTGCCATCAACAACAATAACGGCCCAAATTTTAAACTGGAACCCGGTCATACAAGCCAAACTATGAGTCCCGTCACAACTTAATTGGTAGAGCTTTGGTCTAAGGCTGGGTGGGTTAGATAAAAATTAACAATATCCTGACATTTTCCCTTTTGACAATGCTCAGCATGTCTGTAAACTCGTGTGTTTGTTCTGAAATGGCTAAAAAGGCAAGTTGTCTTAGAATCCATAATTGTGATCAGACGACTAACTACCACAGCCAGTTATATTAAACTATAAATGCAAATAAAACTAATGATATTTAATTTTGTGTTTATGCACAAGTTCTGGCAAGCCATTTTCTAGCTGCTTAGTATATATAATTAGATGATAAATGCATCATTTGTCACTTAATGCGTACTAGAGCCCGACTGATAAAGGATTTTGAAGGCCGATACCGATACAAATATTTTTGGGTTCTAAAATCCGATATATCGGCCGATATTTTTATTATTTTTTTTATATAAAATATTGTTGGATTTCACACACGTGTAAAAGAAAAGCTAACTCTTCTGCACAAGATGCGTTTGATACTTTTTCTCTATGTCTAAGTGTTCACTCCTCGCAAGTATAACTTACATTTTACAATGCAGGGACTGTAACTAGAGATATGCGAGTTATAAATACAGTAATCATTACTTTATTTAGGCAGAAAAAATTCATTGTGGTTTCCAAGCTCATTAATGGTAACGTTAGCGGTCTTCCACTGCTGATAGTGGCATTAGCTAGCTTTGTGGTTAGCTAGTCTATGATGAGCCATAATTTAGCAATAGATGACATCATACTGCAAATTGTAAAACATACATTTTCAATATAACAGGCCAAGAAGAGATGATTTAAGCGTGTTTCATCCGTTTTTATTTTATTTTTTAAATATTCATTTATCGGCCATTATAACTGCCGATACCGATATTTTGGAAAATGCCTAATATCGGCCGGCTGATATATATCGGTCTGGCTCTAATGCGTACCTTTTTCTGTCGGGCTCCATCTGGTTGACCCACACTCGCTTTGTGCATTCTCTAAAGTTTATTTCATCAAACGTGCTTGCTGTTAGGAATAACAGTTTGGAAAATGTAAATATGTGCAGCCCTTTCAATTCATAACATTTACTATGCACTGGGTAAAGTATGATTACATGCAAAGCATTTTATATGCTTATTGCTAGGGTTGGGTATCGAGAATCAAGTATCGATTGGAACCGAGACTAACTTTTTGTTTTTCCCGGAATCGTTCAAAAGTTAAAATTTCGATTCCTAGTTTCGATATTCACAGTCCGCCGAGCGGAAGAAGAAACCGCTGAACAACACCAACGAAGAAGCGTCTACCGGAAGTGTTGGCATAACCACGCGAGTTGAACATGAGTACCTTACGTCGGCGATCCAAAGTGTGGCTTCACTTTTCAAAAAATAACGAAATCTCGGCAAAATTTGTGACAAAAGGAGTATTTTTACAGAAGGAGTATTTCCTTCAGAAAGGCCGTTGGTTAGCAAGGTTAGCTAAACTTTGACCCTGCCTTTTAAAAGAATCGGAATCGAGAATCGTTAGGAACCGGAATCGAAACAAGGAATCGGAATCGGAATCAGAATCATTCAAATTCAAACGATACCCAACCCTACTTATTGCTTAAATGTGACTACATTGATTTAAAAGTTCATTAAGGAACTGAATTTGCAAAACTCTAAAATATCTGCCTTAACTCCTATACTTGTGAGTTGTGAGAAACGAGTAAAAGAGTGAGCACAAAATTGCACTTTTTTAAAAAAAAATGTTTTTATTAAAGTTGCATAAAGCACATTTACATGACTTCAATTTTAATGTTTAACTTGCTTCACAAAATCAATTTGAATTGAGCACTTTTTTTTTTTTTTTTTTTTTAGGATTAGAAAATATACAGACTCAGCCAGCATCCCTACTTAGTCTGGGATATTTCTGGGCATGTGTGAGGCGTGAAAATTTGGCTTTTAGTATGCATATGTGAACTGCTTATGACCTCCAGTGTTATTGAGAACAGTGTTATGCACACTCACACACTCCTGGGCTTGGCATATGAGTGGACAGTGAGTTTTAAAAACAGTAATGCATTAAATAGTGTTGTACAGAAACAAACCACCTTCCTCTCTTCGCTGTGTTTTTCCATTGTTGCATAGTGTAGTAACCATGACCCAGTTTCCACTCCCTTTTGAGCACACGTGATGGAGATGTGGGTAATTTGGAAATCACAGATTAGAGGAGAGAAAGGGTGAATCAGGAAGCGAGAAATAATCATGCTGGGAAATTGGCTGTTTAAACACTGGTTTGTCTCAAACCACCAGAATAATGTTTACAGTTTACACACACTCTGCTTTGAAGTGAACTCAATTCAGATCATGCATGCATATCTGTGATGGCTAATTTTCTTACTTCAAGTTGAAATGATAGAGTAGATCTCAAACCATACTTTTTAATTTTGTTAGTCATGTGGTGCTTGCCTCTTCTTACACTCTTGACTTGAATAATGTATGATTTATTTATAACAAGCTGCATATGACAGCTGTCTTAGTAATGAATGTTTGATGGGGTGTGTTTCACATACACACTCAAAATCTACATGCTCGTTACAGTGGTGTTTTGGACCAACTTTAGTATTTTAACCTTTTTAAAATGTTTAAAGTTATTAATAGTGCTGCTTGCTAACCTTTTCACATTTCTGTTTTTGAGGGTAAAGGGCATACAGAGGGATCATGTGAGGCCATAGCAAACATTATTGCAAACTTCCCTTTTGCTCGACATGCATCAAAAAGATCCATAGCAGGTTTTCATAACTGTCACTTTCTCATTAAAGGGATACTCCACTTTTTTTTGGAAATAGGCTTATTTTACCACTCCCCCAGAGTTAAACAGTCTGGTTTTACCGTTTTCGAATCCATTCAGCCGATTTTCTGATATTTAGAAGAATATCAGTAACCAGACAGTTTCTGGTCTCATTGACTTCCATAGTAGGAAAAAAATATACTATGGAAGTCAATGAGACCAGAAACTGTCTGGTTACCGATATTCTTCTAAATATAAAAAAATTGTCTGAATACATTGGAAAATGGTAAAACCCAACTGTTCAACTCTGGGGGCGTGGTAAAATGAGCTTATTTCCAAAAAAAGTGGAGTATCCCTTTAACTATATTTGAAGCTGTAAAGGTTTTAAAGTTAAAGGTTTGAACAATGCAGTGAAATACAAACTACATTTTCAGAAAGTGCAAAAACTAAGACCCGTTCTCTGTGTGCCACTGTATTAGCTGAGCAGGAAACTCTTCCTGACACTGACAGACGCTTTTGTTGTGTTGTGTTGTGACAGGCAGTGAACTGTAAGGGCCAGCACAGCATCTCCTACACGCTGTCCAGAAACCAGACGGTGGTGGTGGAGTACAGCCATGACAAAGACACAGACATGTTCCAGGTACTGTTCTGCAAAAACACCTTGAAATGTCTCCTTCACTGTTCAGTGTCTGCCTGTTGACTAATCTGTTGCGCCAACTTTAATATATCTGACCTCCACCAAAGCTAATCGAGATCTGGGATATGGGACACGGTTATATCAGTTCCCCAAGACACGTGCTCGGATACAGGGTTGTGTGTGTGTGTTTTTTTTTGGTGTCTGGTCTGCGCATGAGGGATAGTCATGTAGATTGCTGAAAATGAAAAAGGAGGAAAAGCGAAAACGGGAACCAGGGACAAAACAGAAACTCTCTATAAAAAGGAAATAAAGTGGAGACCGTTGCATCTTTATTTCAGTACAAGTATTTATAAACAGGATTTAGTGCAATAAGCACCTCTCTATTCTTGGGAATTTCCATCCCACTTTTAAAACTAAAATAAGCTCTTCAAACAAGCCCTGGCACATGCATGACTGTTTTCCATCTTGTTTACTGTCGAGACAAAATCGCGTAGGGACAATTGTCGCTCGGCTCAAAACCATACAAAACAAATTCTGGAACAGACACACCTGGGGATTTACAGAATCTTCAGCTGAAATGTGGGTATTTTCAGTTCAAAAGGGACCATTTTTTGTAACAATGTATGAGTCTTTGACTATTTTAAAAAGATGCTGTACTTAAGAACTTTCTGTTCCTCTCATAATCCTGAAAGTTAAAAAAAAAAATGTCGGTTTCCACAAAAATATTAAGTAGCATGACTATTTCTAGCTCTGTTTAGAAATGTTTCATACGCATCAAATCAGCAAATTAGAATGATCATGTGACATTGTTCCCGTCTTCATTCACCTTTGCCATCTAGTGTTGTCACGATACCAAAATGATTGTTTCGATACCAAGTCAAGTATTGCGATTTCGATACTTTTCCTGAAAAGGAAAGTATTTCTTACAAGGCGTTTCAAATGCACCTCTTTTGCATAGGTCTGGGCTTGCAAATTATTTATGCTATCTATGAAAGTTGGGGGGAAAGTTGTACACCTGCCATCACAGGTAAAAGTTACTCTTAATATAGAAAATTTAGCTTTTTTTTTTCACTGTATTTTTGATCAAATAAATGCAAGAGATGATCAAAAACTTTACTGCTCAAAAGTTTGGTGGTGTTAATTATAATTATTAATAATATAATACAATTGGTTCTGTCATGACCTAAGCTGCGTTTCCACTGCAGGAACTTTCCCCAGGAACTAGGAACTTTGGGGTGGTCCTCGGTGTGTTTACACCGCAGGAACCCGGGTCTAATTCCGGGTAAAAATTTCCCACCAGAAAGTCCCTGCTGGCGAGGTGGTACTTTCACATTTCGGGAACTTTCGAGGTGGGACTTGTGCGCTGAACATGCTGATTGGTTCTTACCACTTGTTCTTTCTGCCCGATGGCGCGTGTTCGTCCCATCCATCTCACTGTCAATGTCCGCTATAGCTGATAACAAACGTCTACTTTTATATCTAGCATTACAAACCTTCTGAATACGCTTTGGGTGCTCATCTCTTTTCTGCCGTTTTGTTAATTACCTCGTTAGTAAACCAATCGCACACAAAAGCAGCAAAGCTTGAATCTCCTCCATACAAAACTCAAAAAGCAAGCGGTCTGGGGCAAAAAAAAAGTTCTTATGAAAAAAGTTAGTTCCTGGTAATCGCGGTGGAAACGCGGCTCTAGAATATAATTAATCAGGCAATTGTTTGTAATGAGAACGTATTTTAAGTTGTAGAAACTTGAATTCTTCTTTTGTGTCTTAGATCGGACGATCGACGGAGGGCCCTATTGACTTTGTGGTGACCGACACGGTGTCAGGTGGAGGGGAGGGTGAGGAAACACCCATCACTCAAAGCACCATCTCCCGCTTCGCCTGCCGGGTGGTGTGTGAACGTAACCCGCCATACACGGCGCGCATCTACGCTGCAGGCTTTGATTCTTCCAAGAATATATTTCTCGGAGTAAGTGTGTTTTCTTGCCTGGTCTTGAAATGGAATTGTCTGTGGGATGCATTTCTCATCGGCGATACAAGAAGCTTAATTAAGCTCTTATTTATAATGTGCTGTCTGGGGAAGTATCCACTTCTGCTGATCCAGTGGAACTGATCTAAACTTACCTGGTAAATATAGGTGTGTTAGACTAACTGGAGTGACTCACCCATGTGTAAACTGAGCGCACACATTTTTTGTTCATGTATAGTAATTAAGTCTCTCTCTGTAGGAGAAAGCAGCCAAATGGAAGAATCCAGATGGTCACATGGACGGTCTGACAACCAATGGTGTGCTAGTCATGCACCCACGGGGCGGGTTCACAGAGGAGTCCAAGCCTGGTGTGTGGAGGGAGATATCAGTGTGTGGAGATGTTTACACACTGAGAGAAACGCGGTCTGCCCAAACACGAGGCAAACTGGTTAGTGCGTCAGCTGCATCTGCTCAATTTAGTGTACAATGAAGCCAGTCACCTTCACTCGTCAGTTCACCCACCATTTGTTTTTAAATTTGAGTTTGGATTTTTCTAAAAATGTCATCTGAAGAAAGTCAAACATTTTGAACGACATGAGGGCGAGTAAATAATTTAAATTAAGTGGGGTATTCCTTTAAATTTGAGTTTGAATTTATAAGGCATGCCCCACTTAAAAATGTAAATGGTCTTATTTATTTGCCTCATGCCTTTCCAGATGTTTGACTTTCTTCAGATGAGATTTTTAGAAAAATCCAAACTCAAATTTAAAGGAATACCCCACTTAAAAGTGTGAATTCCCTCATTTACTAATTACTAACCATCATGCCTTCCCCGATGTTTATGGACTCAGAGATGGATTATAGCTCATTAAATGATGAGAATATCCTTAAGCAATCATGTGGACATGATTATCTAAACTGCAGATCAAGATTAGTCAGGAAGTTAATTGACTCTCGTTGAGGTTCCTGACTATAAAGTTGGGGCGCTACTAGTGTAGCAGGGAGGACTCTAGGAATGAGAGGTGGACTGGTTCAAATCATGTTACGGATGACCCCTAAGCTGAGTATTCAAGAGGTCACTATCACCATACCCTGACTAGGACACTCTAGCTCATTCATTCAGACCATGTTTGTTTGGCTGCGTTTAGAAATTCATAGTTATGTGCTATATTTGAATTTTGGGGTAAAAGATGGTGTTTTTTTTAAATGGAGTGTAAAAATGTTTGTTGATTTTTAGAGCCATGCTATAAAAGCCACACAGTATGTTGTGAGTATTTGAACCTCTAGCTCCTCCTAGAGCACAAATATGGTTCTGCACTCTTTCATTTTTACCATAGCGCCAATTTCAATACCACAACAAAGTGTGTTGCTAATGAACACACTACTAAAGGTAACTGACACACATCTGTGAGGTTTGATTTATTGAGAAATAAGGAAAACTGAAACAAAATACAAGCAATATAAACTGTGCATTACTTTATACTCTCAGTAAAGATCTAATAAATAATCAGGTATCAGATTCAGAAATTGAAAAACATCTATTCATCCATCAAACCGCTCGCCTTCTGTCAGGTCGTGAGAATGCTGCTGTGAATACCTATGCAAAATTTATTGTCTCCAATTGACCAATGCTGCATGTCTTTGAGTTGTGTGGAAAACCGGAGCATCAAGAGGAAACCCAGTGGACACTGGGAGAATATGGATGTTCACTTTCCACTGACGTGGTTCGGGTGTGGGTTCCAGGTCTGACCCAATTCTCGAGCCGTTCGGTGTGTTTCTGTTGCATGAAAAAGGGGTTAAGCGCCAGAGGATCAATTCAACTCTGGCCCAAAAAACTTGCTGGTCTTGAACTGAGCTGGGTTGAGAAATGTTGACACCGTCTATGACGGCCTCGTGGAGAAATGCAGTGTTGAACTTGCACTACATTGCTTTTTATGTCTAAATATATAAAACGGTGCGCGAGTGACTAAATCAGAATCATGTAACCATTCGGCTTCAAGTCTGTGGAAACAGGCTCCAGTTTGCCTGACCAAATATTGTCCGTCGCAAAACCAGCTGCTTAAGAACGTGCTCTGGCACACATGAATTTATCATACACACTTACTAGAGTTATGATTTTAAAGCCTAACAGTGTATTTGATTACGGACTACGTATTCAAACACAACTGGGTGCGTGCTGCTGACTATTACAAACCGTAGGTTCAACAATAACCTGTATTCAAATTTGCTGACCAGCTCAATAGGAAAAACAATTCTAAAAATGTCTTTTTGCCCTTCAGGTATTCTTGTTGTAAGGCAAACTGGGTTCAAAGGTCAAGACAGACATGAGAACTAGCATTTGTGTCTCGGAGCAGTTAAAGGAGTAGTTCACTTTTCAAAAAAACTTTGGCTGATAATTTACTCACCCCCATGTCATCCAAGATGTCCATGTCTTTCTTTCTTCAGTCGAAAAGAAATTAAGGTTTTTGATGAAAACATTCCAGGATTTTCTCCATATAATGGACTTCATTGGTAACCAAACGGTTCAACGTCCAAAAGACGTTTTCAGTGGAAACTGCAAACTGTTCAAAGGGCTTTAAACGACACCAGACGATGAATAAGGGTCTTATCAAGCAAAACAATCGCTCATTTAAAAAAACAAAAAGTTATTATAAGCTCAAATGCTCGCCTTGCTCTGGACTGTGATGCGCGTTCGGGACTCTCCTGTTCGAACTCGTTTATCAAAATGAAAATCTTTTTCCAGAGTCAATTCGTTCATTTCGTTTGTTGAATGAACCAAATGACACGAAAAAAGATTCGTTCATTTTGATAAACGAGTTCTTTTGGACTTTGAACCATTTGGTGCCCAGTAAAGTGCATTATACTGAGAAAAATCCTGGAATGTTTTCATCAAAAACCTTAATTTCTTTTCGACTGAAGAAAGAAAGACATGGACATCTTGGATGACATGGGGGTGAGTAAATTATCAGCAAAAGTTTTTTTTTTTTTTTTTTAATAAGTGAACCACTCCTTTAACCAGTTAGACTTCTGTAATCTGAACATCTACAACCTTAGGTTGGACTCCCAGCTGAGTCGGGTGCTCTGGTTTCCTCTCGACTACATAGGACAAGCGTTTTTGGAAAATGGATGGAATGCTTGTAATGAATGCATTGCTCAGATGTTTGCTTTATGCGCCGCTCAGGTGGAGAGTGAGAGTAACGTACTGCAGGATGGCTCTCTGGTTGACCTCTGCGGAGCCACGCTGCTCTGGCGCACAGCCGACGGCCTTTTCCACACCCCCACTCAGAAGCACCTGGAGGCCTTACGGCAGGAGCTGAACGCAGCCCGGCCTCAGTGCCCCGTGGGCCTCAACACCCTGGCCTTTCCCAGCATGCAACGCTGCAGCCGCGCCCTGTCCAGCGGACCCACCCAGGAGGACAAACAGCCCTGGGTCTACCTTGCCTGTGGCCACGTTCACGGCTACCACGACTGGGGCCACCGTTCCGAACGGGACGCCAATGCTCAAAGAGAGTGTCCCATGTGCAGAACCGTGGGCCCCTACGTACCACTCTGGCTTGGATGCGAACCGGCCTTTTACGTAGATACTGGCGCACCGACGTACGCCTTTGTGCCTTGCGGTCACGTGTGCTCTGAAAAGTCAGCCCGATATTGGGCGGAGATTCCTTTACCGCACGGCACCCATGCTTTCCATGCGGCCTGCCCCTTTTGTGCCACCCAACTCAATCTGATGCAAAAGTGGGCCAAGCTGATCTTTCAGGGGCCTGTAGACTGACCGCACAGAGGAGGTTATAATGAACTGGTGGGCAGTGGAGTATGTAATCGAAGAGGAATCCAGTATGCAAGGACAGTTGGTGTAAGGGCTGTGAAGCTGCCTTTGAAACGCGTATGCAGGAGAACGACATGGCGAATGACAGGAGTGATTTTCTGACTGTTATTTTGTCTACCGGCCCACAAGATGTCAGTTCACACCACATCACTCAGGAGATTTAATACATTTCTATATAGGACACTTGGCTTTAGAGACTCTAGGTGCTTCGTTTGGTTCTCGGTGATCCTGATCCTCGGTTGCTTTAATGATCTATATCCGGTGATGTCCAAAGAACTTGATTTTCTGGTTCTAGTGTGTCGAGTTGGGACTAAACTGTGCAGGATGGCCGGAAAACCATGAGCAGGATCCATTATTTTAAGTAATTCAATGAGGTCAGAGGTCAGAATCCCGTTTCCCAAATTCCACTGAGAGCTTCTACGAGGATGTACTTGTTGGAGTAGTGTTTTGGGAACTGCAATACTAAAATAGTGGTTTCCAAAGATTAATTTTTTTTAAAAAGGTCATTTTTCTGTTTTGTTTGTTTGTTTTTTTTGATTCTTTACATGAAGAGCTACCAAAATAACACTCCTAAAGGATCTGCCAAGTGGAATTGGAGTGACTTGTCGTCTGTGATCTCAAGTATTTGGAAACTAACACATTTTTCTTTATTTTTGTCTCAGCTGTCGAAGATTTTAAGCTTTGCTGTAAAGGTATTTTTATTCATACTGGGCTAACCGGTAACAAAATTAACAAAGGATGTTGCCAAATATTTTTAACAGATAGTTTAACTAAAAGTATAGTTCCTTAAAGTGCGTTCCAAATATATATTTTGGTACTTTCCACATGTTGATGTCGCTGTACAATCAAAGCAGATGTGAAACCTGTGGACTATTCTGCAATCAGCATACTGGCTTTTCTCAAACGTGGAAAATGATTGGATTGAGATGGAAAACAATGACGTACAGGAGACAGTGATCGCTTGGTAACTATTTCTCTTTGTTCAAAATTGATCCCATTTCAACTGTTTTATAAGCTTGTTATGAGATTAAAATGACTTATTCTACTATTTTCCTAAAATTTATACTGAGATGGTTTCTTATGCCTAAAGACATTTTTACAGGGGTGTCAAGAAGCTTATTTTAGGCACACTGAAGGGGTATTTTTTTCAACTCTTGCCTTTTTACTCACTGAAAAGTATTTTACTACACACAAGCCCTTGTACAGTTTGTTTGTTTTAAAAAAAAGATACTAATATATTTATTCAGGTATGTACTTTACTGTGTGGTAGGTGTCTGTATGAATGTATCGGCTTGATCAACATTCATTGACGTGTGTGTGTGTGGGTGTGCTGTGTTCACACTCAGCCTGTGAACAGACACTAGTCAAATATTCTTTGATTGACGCTCAAATTTTCTGGTCTTGCTTGATTTTTGCAAAATAACACATGATTCCTACCACACTCAGTTACTTTCAACCCAATATGAACACTGTAAAATCACCATCTTGAAATGTTCGGTTGTCTCTATATATTTGTTTGGATTACAGGCAGTTGTTATGGTGTGATATACATGCATTTAGAGGGATGTTTTCTTGAAACATATCATTGTGAAATCAAAAGCAGAATGAACTGGCAATGGGGAGTGTATTTACTCGAGCAAAGCTACTGTTTGTTAATGATGCTGATATGACTATTCCATCATGTAGCATTAACTAAAGTAAAGCCAAACATGTTTTTCTGTTTAAAATGTCAAAGGATTGTGAAACTTTGTCTTCAAATTCCAAGGACAATTCATGTGTAAAGTTCAGCAAAATTAGGCACAATAAACCATTACACAACAGAGCTTTAGTGTTTTAATTTCTGTGTTAAAGGTTATTACACTTGAACAGTGTGATTAGAAACATTTAGAAACATTTCATACACTGAGGCATATGGCCATTTTTAATGATTTTGTTAAATTGGGTTTTAGTTGCAGAAAAAAAGTAGTTTGTGTAATTTTGGTTGTCTTTGCATCATCACACTATGGTATGCTTGAAAAGCATGTTTAAATAAAGGACATTTCTCTATCAAAGAACAGTTTTAGTGTTTTCAAGTAAAAGCGAACAACTTTTCATGCATTTTAGCTCTTCGTTTACATGACAAGTGTTTTGGGAACCTAAAAATACAAACTTTTAAAAACGATACCATTGTGGTTGTCGTCTCCAGGAAGGGGCAGGCCAGATAAATACAGAAATATAAGAAAAGCAGGATGAACACAATAGTGTTCCTGCAACTGACGCGTCGTCTAGACATGTATGTATTGGGAACTGTCACTTTCACTATGTCTGAGTTATATGTTAATTCAAAGCAGAGAATCATTTTTAAATGAACAAGGTGTAGTCAGATCATGATATAGGCTTCTTTTTCTCTTGTTTGAACTATGCAATATGTTGAAATATTTCAAACTAGCATTGTGTGATGACCATTGTTTAGAGCACTTTCACATTGATTTCAGACCCATAAAGAGCATCTTTGTGCTTCCTCCTCCTCGTCTCATTCTTCAGTTGCTCTTGCATTACATCATCAATCCCATTATAAAGTTAAACAATTTAGCTGAAATCAAAATGAACTTTTTGAAGATTATGCTCTAAAGATCGGCTGCGAAAAACAAAAATGATTAGCGATGTGATATTGAGATATGAAAATGTTAAGATTAAAGAAATGCTAACAGCATTTCCGTTTTTGAAGTTACTGTATGTAATTATTACTCACAGCCGCAAGAGGGTGCTGTTATATTAACTAAACTGGAAAAATCACACTAGCGCCTTATTGTGAGCTAGGCCTAGAAACATGAATGCATTTAACAATATATAACATTACATTTCTATTTAGTGCAACAATTATGTATTACTTTTTACTGCAAGGTTAAAAAGCCATTTTTAACAAGTTAAATGCAGCTATTTTGTTCATGAAAACACATCGAATTTGTGAAGCGAACAGTGTCAAACCATTTTGATTGTAATAATCTTTAATTGTGCAAAACGAGTGGAATAAAAGGCACCATTTTAAAACGCATAGGTCCGGTATCACAGACAAGGCTTAGATTAGGCCTTAGTTCATTTACGACATTTAAATTGATCATACTGGTGTGCATCGTGAAACAATTAAATCGCACTGATATATAAGATATGTCAGTGCAAGTTGCTTTCAGTTAAAACAGCTCAAACATGCACTTTAGTCTAAGAAACTGAACTTTTACTGACATTTAATGGATTTTTTCTTTTAAAAAAATGCATGTTTCCGGTTTAAAACTCACTACGCATTTGAAAAAATGGGCTTCGAATAATGGCAAGCGCATTATCCATCAAACAGTGATGACATATTCGTCCCTTTCAGACGCGCTCTCTCTGCAAAATAAGGGCATATAAAAGGATTTCGATTTTCAGCACGCCATTTAGCCGCTTTGAAAGGGAAGATCAGTGGGATGCCATGACTGCTAATTAACATTTCCTCCTGTAGATGCGGGAGAGATGGGAAGCGTCTCGTCCCACTCCACACTGACAGTCATCGTAGTAAAGGTGACAGAGAGCTCGTCGGGAAATCTCGGCTTGGCTTGCCCTCATTTAAGAGGGTTTATTAAAAATGACATAACGTCTGCATTGGTGATGAAGCTTACGGCTTGTCTTTTGTGCTTCCTGTGAAATTTTATTTTGTAACGTGCAAAAATGCTCAAGTGTGATGTAATGTTATACGCCTGGATAGGCCACCTCACTAAACAAGTCATGTCACAACACTGTTAATAAGTGCACCTGTCCTCTATTCTGGCATTATTACCAATTGGATATTAATTATAGCTGAGATACCTTTCAATTTCTCTTATGAAATCTGTGCATCCATTAAAACTGCTCGAGATGTAGTAGCTATGGAAGCGTTAGCGAGGGCATATCGCATCAGAGAGAGAATGTGTGTTTAGTGGTCTCCTGCAGGACGCCTGCCAGCACACACACACTCAACTGTTGAAGTATCAAAGCTGCAGAAAATCAAGACACGACGCCCGGTCAAGATACTGACTGACTGGCTGACGATCATCTTAATTATCTTCCATTTCAATTATGTGTACAAGTAACAAGAACACATTAAAGTTAGATAGAGATTTAAATGAGTTTTAAAAGAGATATGATGTTTATGCATTGCGAACACACGAGAAATGCCTTTTAATTGTCCAAGAAAAAAGCCGAATTAAAAGGAATTAAATCGATAATAATACAAATTTATAGCCTAATATAGGCTACTATAACTTAATAATCTCATATTATTATTGGTTTGAAAAAAAAAAACAAAACAAAAAACTGCTGCACTGCTTATAATACGACCAATGAATTCATAAAAAACAGGAAATGATGTCATAGAGAAGACCCCGGCATGTTAAATTTAATCTTAGATGGAATAAGTAGCCTATATTTAACAAAATATTATATAGTAATATTCGACAAATTCTTTAGACAAAAAAAAAAGAAAATGATAATGTTCCTAAAGGTAAATATTATAGGAATATTGAGTTAATGAACTGGAAGGAAGTCTGTCTGATTGCATTCCCAATAAGACTTATGTTTAACTTAAACATATCCCGTGAATGATACGGTGGCTAAATGTATGGATGTTGACTGGCCGTTCTTGCTCATTTTGTGGGAATGAGGATGAAACACTGATCCATTTATTTTTCCAACGGGAAAAAACTCAAAGCCTAGGAATAGTTTATCTCTTCAGAAAGGTAAGCACTTTTATTCATAAGAAATTTGATTAAACCTGCAGCTACTTTCACATATTTTAATTGAAATTGACTAATGTCTCAAAGGTTGATTAAAAACAAGTGACAGATTCTTGAAATCTGATGCATGAAGCACTGATGCATGTTTCCTCTGCACTCTAAAAAATGCTGGGTTGGTGCAACAAAATTTTGGGTCAAATATACAAATCCAAACATGTGGTTTAAAATGTTATTAAAAAATTTAACCCAAAGGCTGGGTTTGTCCATATTCTATCCAAATTTGGGTTAAAGCAACCTATCATTTTTTAAAGTGTGTATGCGTTTACATATCATCCTTCTTTTCTTTCTTTCTTTCTTTCTTTCTCTTATTTTAGCCTAATTGTAAAACTTTATGAAGAATCGATGTCATTTCATTCCTGTCTGTTCTGTCTTTTGTCTGTATATTGTTTGATGCATTATGACAATAAAAAGGGCTCTTAAAATATCAGATAAATGGACCTTTTTATGACAAGGCTATTGAGATTCTAAAATGTCATGGTGTGACTCTTCAAAAACAAAATTATATTAAAATTGCAATCTACATTGAAAAATATGTTTAAAAACGTTTTGTAAAGTAATTGTTACACAACATGACATTTGGTCATTCATTGAACTGCATGAAAGCGACATGAATAAAAAGAGTTTTGTGACAATCTTTCCTTTTCTTTCTCATACTCATTGATCCTGTCCTTTTGGATATGGCCAGTCCTGACCGCATGAGGTCTTT